TTAATGTGTTCTGCTGTTTGGTCAAACTTCACTTTGACTTCTTCACAGACCTTTAACTTCTTCTTTACAGGCTCCAGAGCTTCCCGAAGCTTGTGCTTGTGTTGTCGTGCAGCTTCATCGATGGGTCTGAATCTGTGCTTGTTGTGTTTGTCCGAGTCTCTGCACACAACACACACTGGCTGCTGATGGTCCAAACAGAAGAGTCTGAGTTTCTCAGAGTGCAGACTGCAGAGACCCTCTGAAGCTCGCTGATCTCTCTGCTGTAGGAAGGACTCACACAGGTTCTTTAAAGCCAGGTTACGAGGTGGATCGTCCCTTGAAGATCTTCTCCTGCAAACTGGACACTTGTGTGTTGAGTCTGCTCTCCACCAGCTCTTCAGACAGTCTGTGCAGAAGCTGTGGCCACATGACAGAACAACAGGATCTGAGAAGATGTTCTGACACACCGAGCAGTTAAGATCCTTGTCTGATCCGGAAGCCATCGAGTTTGTGAATGAAGCTGAAAACAGGAAGTACAGTCAGTCCTGGTTCTCCTTCTCCTCTTCACTGAAACGTCCTCTGAGTCGTATGTTTAGACTAACTTACTTTCAGTGTGGCTGTTGTTGTCTTTGTGTCCTGCAGCTGGACTCGCTCAGAGGAAGCTGGTACTTTGGTCTGATGGTGTATGTGTGTCTCTTTAGTCAGGAACAATAGCAAGGTGTTTCCTAGTTTCTTTCAAGTGAGTCAGTGGGGGGCGGGGCTTTGTCAGAACTGCTCAGGTAAGATGTTTTTCCCAGAGTACAAAAGCCGACCTGTCAGCCGTTGGAAACTGTAAAACAGGTTTGTCCAAATTTCATCAGGACAGTCTCAACTTTAGAAGTTTAATCAATGAGGATAACAAAGTTCTGACTGATACTGTGAAGATTTGAAGTTTAGTCCTGTAACATTTGTACGTTGGCTTCACATTCAAAAAAGCAAATTTCTTATCTCAAAACTTCAGAGGGGTTCATCATGTCAACTCATTTATTTCAGGTGTGCAGTAAGTAAAGAAGCTCCACGAAGTTTGAGTTCATAGGAACATGTGTTGGTAATATTTACATTCTGTGTTAAGAGGCAGATGTGACCAGTGCAACATAGAATAGAATAGAATAGAATAGCCCTTTATTGTCAATGTACAATGAAATTACTCCACAGAATAAGAATAAAGCACAGATTGGAGAGCAAAGAGAAGACTCGGTCAGAGTAGAGTCGGTGTGGGAGTCACCTGAGAGCTGAGGGTTACTCACACCATGGCTCAGATTGGTGAGGTGGGTGGGCAGGATGTGTGTTTGTGTGTCTGTGCCGTGACCAGAGGGCAGTAGGTGAAACAGGTGGTGGGCGGGGTGCGAGGGGTCACCTGTGATGGCCCTGGTTTACCTGAGACAGGAGGATCTGATCATGGCCTCCAGGGCTGGCAGAGGGCAGTCAGTGATGTTTTGGGGTGCTGTTAATGACCCTCTGTGCAGCCTTCCTGTTCTCAGTCGTGGCCCCTGAGTACCAAACTCGCTCTCCACTGAGGAGCTGTAGCAGGTCAGCAGCAGCTTCAGGTCCAGGTTATTCTTCCTCAGGACATGGAGGAACTGCAGCCACTGCTGGGCGTTCTTTACCAGGGTGATGGTGCTGTGGGTCCAGGTGACATCAGCAGACATGTGGATCCTCAGAAACCTGAAGGTGGAGACAGATTCCACCTGTTCTCCATGTATAATGAGAGGGAGTGGACCTGTCTGTGCCTCCTGATGGCCGCTAACTTTCTGCTTCTTAATTCAGATCAAACTGAGGTTATTGTACTCGGCCCTGAAAATCTTAGAAATATGGTCTCTAAGCAGATTCTTACTCTGGATGGCATTACCTTGGCCTCCAGTAACACTGTGAGGAACCTTGGAGTCATTTTTGACCAGGACATGTCCTTCAACGCACATATTAAACAAATATGTAAGACTGCGTTCTTCCATTCCCATGATGCACTGGGTGTTTCTTCTTCACTCACTTCACTCACTATAACAGACCTCTCTGCATTGAATCATATCTGTTATTAACCTCTGTCTCTCTTCCACAGCATGTCTTTATCCTGTCTTCCTTCTCTCATCCCAACCAATCACAGCAGATGGCCCCGCCCCTCCCTGAGCCTGGTTCTGCCAGAGGTTTCTTCCTGTTAAAAGGGAGCTTTTCCTTCCCACTGTTGCCAAAGTGCTGCTCATAGGGGGTCATATGATTGTTGGGTTTTTCTCTGTATCTCTGAAGCGCCTTGAGGCGACTGTTGTTGTAATTTGGCGCTATATAAATAAAATTTAATTTAATTGAATCTTCCATGATGTTCTCTCTCCTACAGCGTTGGTTACAATTACACAAGTATGACCAATTATGTAAATTAGGCGATGACATCATTTAGCGACTTCTAGTGACTTTTAGGACAGCCAATAGCGATTTTCCTTACTGAGGAGTTGGTAACTCTGATGGGGTGGTCTGCGCTTCCTTGGCCGACTCGCCTGTGGGGTGGGTTGGCCCCCATTGCAATGTCTGGTCTGCACCTGGGAAGGTGGGGCTCTGGGTGTTGTCGTTGTGGGCCCTAAGCCGACTTTTTCCCACCGTCTGGCGGGGTGTTAGGAATAAACAATAGGGGTGACTGCTCAGCCAATCGTTTGCTGGCTCTCTAAGGGTACTCCACTATCTCCTGGTCTTACTATTCCCACCCCCTACATTTGACCTAAACTCCTTCCAAATAACAGGGAGAACAAATTTTAACACAAAAATGCTCCTGACTGCTGCGAGACTGCCGTAGTGTTTAATTTACACAGTGAATGAAACTCTCTAATGTACAAAGATCTGCACAAGCTCTCTTAACAGCAGACACACAAATTTACTCCAATTTCACTTGTTGAGTTAGGATTTTCACACACAAAAAACAAACACTGAAACACCCACTGTTGGGGAGAGGGTCATCTGGTGGTTAGGAGCCTCTCGGCCTGGGGCTCGGTCACTCAGGCACGGCTGGCTGCCGGCGGAGCTCACGGGCGCGTCACTGCAACCCCCCCTGGCTTCTGCTCCGCGGCTGCTGAGTGAGCCCTCATCTGGGACTCTCCTCAGCTCTTTCTGGGACAGTGGCGCGGCTGCCCCTCTGTTGGTCTTCCTTGGTCTCTTGTGTTCTGGGGGCCTCTGGATGTCTGGAGTTTTGATCTCCTCCATACCTGCTTCATGCCCTGGAGGACGGGGCTGTGGCCCCCCCACACCCTCTAGCAGATCATTACATGAAGGAACCTTTTAAAAACAAGCGCGTCCATGCTCACAGGTGTACACACGGGTGATCACACCCACAAACTACACCCTTTTTGGCTCCTACCTCAAAGCACACTGTGTTCTGTTGATCTTATGTGCTGCACAATAATGTTTAATATTTAGTATTTACTGTCATATTCCCATATATCATTGTGATGTTGTTTATTCTATTACTCGTTCTCTTCTGCTTGCTTTCTTTTTTCTTTCTCAGCAGGTGATCCAGGTGATTGATATATGCATTTTTTTTTCTGCCCGTTCGGTTGGTTTTTGTCTTTTGCCCTTCTCCCCCGTCCCTCTTCTCAGCTGTTTGTCTTTCCCTCTTTCTTTCTCCCCTTCTTTCCCCAAGTCAAGTCTGTCCCGTATTCAGCAAGTGAAAATAAAATAAACAATAAAAGGTGAATCAAATGGACCATTACGGCAAGGCTGGGATGGTCAATTTGGTAAAGTAAATCCGTTGGGCATCTTTCTTTGCCTTTAGACAACAATTCTGATGCAAAAGAGCCAAACGGGACAGGCAAAAAAAAAAAAAAAAAAAAAAAAGGAGCTTGCCGTCTATCGAATTAGCCAATCCAGGAACAGGAATAAATGCAACCACACAGCCCTAACCCTGGGAAGGAAGGACGGAGGGAGGAAAAAAAAGAAACCCCCACACTCACTGGTGGGAGGACAGACACACACGGGTCTGTTTATGCTGTCAGTCATCATCCCTGGGAAGGAAACTGGAATGTGTCAAAGAAATTCCAATCAGTGCACGTCTGCTCTTATACAAACATGTTTTTGGATAATATGACGACACAGATCACGTCAACATTGCCTAATTCCAAACTCTGACCCCCCCCAAAAAAAGAAAGATAAAATAATGATTGTTTTAAAGTCCAGTTTTTCTTCTGAGGATTTTTGCTCAGTATGCAGTAAATATACAAGTGTAAGAGGTATCTATACATCCAGGTATTTCATATTTTCAGGTCCTGATAGAATTAGCAGGTTCGTGTCGCCCTCTGCTGGACACAGCCACAAAATACATGATCTGCTTTCTGGGAGCTCAGGAAAAGTGGCCCCAGAATGTTTTTCTTTATTTGTCAACAATGAAGTGATTCACATATTCACATTTAATCAGGCCAGAGCTTCAATTTTGGGATGAATGTGTGTAAAAACAAACACCTCATCATTCACGGCTTTGGTAAAAGTAGCTCAAAAATTTAAGACTTTTAACTACATTTTTCTGTTTTAATGAAGCCCCCCCCCCAATGGTCATTCATCCGGGGTTTCTCTGTGAATATCACAGTCGTGCTCGCTGCTCGCTCAGAGTTGAAGTTTAATTTTTCGCTGTAGAAAGTTTTCTTCCCACAGAGTGAACAGCGGACGCTAATGTTTTTGTCACTTTTTACGCAATCAAACTCAAAGTAATGTGATTACTTCCACGCTTTAAACGCTGCACGGTCGTACTCTCTCCATCACTCCATATTATCTGATGTTGATCTGCACGTCTGTTGCTGCCACGGACGCCACACGCTCGTACGTCATTATCATGAGACACACAAACAAAAGCACGGTTCAGTAACGCAGCGTGCTTACGGGAAAGTAACAGTAATCTAATTTATTTTTTGCAATAGTAATCCCTTACTTTACTTGTTGCGTGAAAAAGTAATCGGCCCATCTGTGGTGAAGCTGTGTGTCAGTGTCACAAGTACGAGTAAAGAAACCCCAAATCAGGACAGTATGTATATTTAATGGTTACACAAACAGCTCAGAGGACAAAAGAACAACCAAACAAAAGCAGCAGCGCACACACACACATCATCCAGCTCAACAACACACTACACTTACATTACATATTCACTGTTTCTGGAGATTACTTTGGAAGATCGTGTTTCAGTGATTCTAACATGTTTTAAGCTGTGAAATAAAACATTGATGGACAATAGCAGGTTGTATGAAAGACTTAAAAATTATTGCTACAATGTTAAAAGGTGACATGTTATAACAGATGCACTATGGTTAATGTGGGGACTCCTCAGGGAAGCCTACTGGGTCCTCTTTATTTGCCCTGTACAGTCAAATATCTGAAAATACAGCTGCATGACCTTCTGTGCTGATGATATCCAGCTTTATATGTGTGTGTAACACCTGCTGAGGATGTTAGTACTAGTGCTTCATAAATAGCTATGCTAAACTTCAAACACCACCTTAAAACCTGTTTTGTTACTGGCCCCGAATGGAGTATTTGCCAGTAAACCAGCCACAGTGGGAACGTTACTTTGATTTCAAACACGTTTCAGCAAAACTTTTATATCACAGGCGCTAACCTTTTAAGATTGACCAATGAACAAAACAGAAGTGGTACTGCTGCCGTCTGTTTGGCCAGCTGAGATGGAAATCTTAGTCTGGCACATTGGGAACAGGAGGCATGGAGCAGCCAGGCATACGGGGATTTTCCTGAGAATCACAAATCCAAAGCAGAGCATCTCATTCACACAGACCACACAACGACAGGACAACAACAGACAGCGCACAAATGCAACAGAGCAAGCATGGCATGCAGTATCCATACCCTGCAGGCTGGACATGAAAATAACATTTCAGAAGCATCTTACAATAACGAGGGTAACAGCTGCAAATTTCACTCATTTTCTTTTAAAGGAAATGTTTATGAAAATCTGTACAGACCTTTGGTTGGATATGCACTCCTGTATATACCTCTACTGGTGTACAATATACATATTTCAATAACTCTAATTTAAATACTAATTTGGCTAAAATGAATATAAAAAATAACATGTGTATATATAAGTGTCTCATGCTGTGGTCAGCTGTCCACACGTGAAATGAGCTTAATATGCTTTTCTTCCCTTTGAACAAACAACACAGTCGAGCACTTTTACAGGTTTTCATAAACACAGAGTAGAAAAGGTTTTTAACCATCGCAGACACTGCGCCACAACTTATTACACAGGGTTAATATCTGTATAAAATAGATTTCTTTAAATATTACAAAGGTTAGATTTGACATGGTTCCACAGTAAAAACAGTCGAAGACCATCCAGGTTTTGTTTCAGCAGCAAGAAAACAAAGTACGATAACTACAGAAACTCAGGTTACAACAGTGACAGGTCTTCAGCACAGTCGAAGGAAAAGAGCAGAAACTTCAGTCTGCTTGCATATAAAGTCATATTTAAACGGTCACTTGAAAATACATTTTAAAAGTTTACACTTACTGATCGGCAACCTCATAGGCGGCACATGTTGACGATACGTGTTGTCCACATCCTCTTTCAGCTCCATGTTTGATGTTGATGTTGAGCAAGTAATTTAGTGTTTTTCAGAGTTTTCTGTAGTGTTACTGGAAACTTGAAATGTCCCAGAAACCAAAACTAGGAGCTAAAAGAGGCAAAAAGTTCCAGAGATGGTGCCAGCGCTTTCTGACAGAAGCTGCCACAAAAACCGAGGACGTGTTTTATAACGCAGTGCCACTGATGCTGGTTCAAAAAAGGAAAAGGCATCAGCTTCCCTGCAGCAACACAGTCAATAGTCTCTTTTCCCGCATACAGTTGGTGGGTGTGCCGTTGCTTAGTTTGGGCCCTCTGATGATTCAAGTGCCTGATTTGGAAATGTTTGCTCTGGTAGTGCGATCCTCGGGTTAATGGAAGGCCACTGAATGAAAGCGTTGGTTTCTGAGCTCACCTCGTCTCTGCCTGCCGAAGTCTCCATCACGTAAGAGTTAAAGTACTGTTTTTACTCCTCGATGAGTTTCCAACATTTATTCAGTATCCAAACAGCAAAAATGGTACCAACCATTATTTCATACATGCAGTCATAGTTCATCATCCTGACTGGTAACCAGTATTATGGTCTGTAGTAGGTCTTTTATCAGGAAGCTGCGGGAAGCTGGCCAGCGGGCGATGGCGAGACTTTTGTGCCCTTTGATGTCCGAAGCATAAAAACTCATGTTACAGTATTGGTGTTTAACAGTGATATAATATTCAGCTCAGGGTTTCTGCTGAGACACTAAAGAGCCGCGCCGACCTGCAACCAGAGACCAGACACAGCTGAGAAATGTAGACGACTCCGTTTGACTAAGTGCTGGTGTTCATGCGGAGGCAGTAGCTCCTCCCACTGGGCAGGCCTTCTTAATCCATATGTCACTTCCTGAGGTTTACGTTGGGCTTCCTGTTTATGTCAGTCCAACATGGCGTCCAGCTGGTCGGCCAGGTCATCGAACATGTTGCCGATGTCGTCCAAAATGGTTCCTGCAGACCTCACTTGGTTCGGTCCACTGGTGTTAAAGAATGAGACACAAATGTACATTACTTACGATGCAAACACAGAAGAGAAGAAAGCTTCCATACAGTCTGAAAGCTGCTGTGACACCAGATAACTACCAAAGTAAGGTCCAAACGAAATGCTTCAGTTGCTGTGGGAAGGGCAGCCATGCTGGGGAAAATGAGTCGACTGTGATTTTGACCTGACCCTCAGGTGGGTGATCTTACCTGTCGGAGCTGTTCTCCACGTTCAGTTTTCTCTCGACGTCTTTTAGAGCTGCTGCCAGAGACGTGCTGGTCTGATCCAGTCTCTGCTGAGCCACCTCCACCCCCACGGACGGCTCAGGGGGAAGACCTGGACCCAATGCATATATGTGAGACCTCCCAGCTGCCAGAGACGGGCTCTGGGGGGCCTGAGCGGATGGAGCTGGAGGCCCGCGGGCGGGTGAGGATGGAGAGGCGAAGGCCAGACTTTGAACCACACTGACGGTCACAGTAGGAGACGACAGTCCTGCAGAAGAAGATATCCATACAGTAAAACACCAACAAGTGCCAAGTGAAGGTTGAGACGTGTCAACCTACAAGTCAAGTTACATCCTTTCATCCATCCATGATGCACTGAGCATTTCTTATCTGTTATTAACCTCTGTCTCTCTTCCACAGCATGTCTTTATCCTGTCTTCCTTCTCTCACCCCAACCAATCACAGCAGATGGCCCCGCCCCTCCCTGAGCCTGTCGAGTTTCTTCCTGTTAAAAGGGAGTTTTTCCTTCCCACTGTCGCCAAAGTGCTGCTCATAGGGGGTCATATGATTGTTGGGTTTTCTCTGTATGTATTATTGTAGGGTCTACTGTACAATATAAAGAGCCGTGAGGCGACTGTTGTTGTGATTTGTTGCTGTATAAATAAAATGTAATTGAATTGAATCATGCATCCATTCTAATCTTCCTTTCCATCTCAAGTTCCACCATCACTGACAAACACGACTGAGATACTTCTATCTAGCAAATCTGCAAATTTGTAATAGTACCAAGTTAGAGAGGCAAGGCTTAGCTGATCTGCATGTGCAGAGGCGAGAGAGTGGATATTTGGTGAAAAGATGATGAAGATGGAGCTGCCAGGTAGGAAAAAAAGACGAAGACGTGCAGAGGGTTAGCATGACAGAAGAGGATGCTGGGATAGAGGCAGATGGTCCACTGTGGAGACCACTAAAGGGAGCACCCAAAAGAAAAAGAACCAAGACCCAGGAAAGCGTCTAAGTTCAACTCAAAAAGTCCAAAGCCCAAAAGTCCCAGTCTCAAGCTCTGTCTACAAGTAAAAGACTCAAAGTAACCACGACATGCCCCTACTCCAAGCCCAGAGCCAAAGTTCCAGTTTCTCTTTCATCCAAGTGAAACCAGAGGGCGTAGTAACAGATCACAAGTCAAAGAAAGTAGGACTCGCATGTTTCATCTACAGTCAAATCAGAATTCAGTCAGTTACTGAGCCCACATTTCCTTAAGAAGCAGAATCTGCGGGTTTTATAATGTCACAGCGTATCAGTGAGGTGTAAGTCTCTTACCCTGTGAAGCCAGCAGACTGTGCCGGACAGGTTTGGGGGCGACAGCAGGTTTAGGGGAGAGAGGAGGTTTAATGGGGGAACCGGTTGCTGGACTGGCTGGCCTCTCCACGCTGGTCTCACTGATTCTCAGGCTGACCTCCGGGTTCAGGGATGGAGGCCTGCTGCTGTCAGACTCGGGCTCGGTGGCCCCTGCTCCCTCTCTGCTGGGGGACCCTCCTCCCTGCTCCTTGTCTTTGGGTTTGTGTCGGCGCTTCACCGTGTCCGACTCTTTCAGATTAAACTCCAGCACCTCCAGATTTTTGGCCGCTGGCTTATCAGGAGGCTCCAGCACGGCCTCAGCCCTGGGCGGACCTGGAGCTTTGGGCCTCTGTTTGATGGTCAGGTTGCCCTCTTCGGCGAAGGGGATGCACTCGCTGGAGCTGTTTTGAGGTGACGAGGAGCGTTCCAGTCCATGACCGTTTGACTCTTCTTCCTCGGAGTCTGATTTGACCCCTCGGTCCTGCTTGGTGCTGCCGTTGTTCTCGGTGGAAACACACTGGCTCTTCACCCTCCTCCTTACTCCTGCAACCTCGGAGCTGAGGGAGGGAGATGGAGCCTCGTGCCGCACAATATCTGGTGTGGAGCTGCTCTTCCCCTCTGCGCCGCTTTCCAGGGACGCTGCGATGCTGCGCACGCTCCCCGGACTGTCAGTCACTACGCCGCCAGTGGACGAAGTCGTGCTGCTGTCGCTCAGCTCGCCACTGGTGTTGCTGCTCACTGAGCTCAGTCTCTTTGGGGGAGGAGGAGGGGGACCTTTTTTCCGGGCACGGACAGCAAACGACTGACTGCGTCCCACGCTGCCATTTTTGTCGGGACTTGGCTGCAGTCGAGCCAGCTGGTGGCGGCCGGGCTTGCGCGTTAAAGTGGCGTAAGATGGCACGTTTCCAGCACGCATCAGCTCCTCATCGTCCTCATCGGGCTCTCCGTCTGACAGAGCGTAGCGGGTGATGCTCTGGGTGCGCTTGTTGGGTGGTGTCAGGGTCATAGCGTGGTTCTGGTGCCTGGGAGACGAGTTCAGGTCTGTGGAACCGCACTGAGAGTGCAGGTAACTGAACCCCTTCAGGGTTGGGGAGCCATGAGGGGAGGAGCCTTGGGATCCAGGCAGTTTGGGCTTTGCGGGGATGGCCGGGTACTTGAACACAGTGGCCGTACCCAGAGGAACCTGTTTTGGCAGAGGCTGCTGCTGTAGGGGCCTCTGGTCCCATCCCTCAGGAAGATTCCTCTCCTTGGCGGGGCTGCCCTCCAGGCTCTCCTGGGACCAGTTCTGGGGGGTGATGGAGGCTGTAGGAGGCTCCTGTGAGCGTCCAGAACCTCTGGACCGGGTGTCAATGCTCTCCTGGCTCTGGGACATCCCCACCGCATTCTTGATGGCCAAACCTTCCTCGCAGTCTCCGTAGTGGCTTGACATTGCTGTCTGAAGCTCGGCGCTCAGCTCGCTGTCCTGGAAGGTCAGCATCTTCGGGGTGTGAGGTGAAGAGCATTCGCTGCCAGCATCGGCCTCAATGGCGACCAGGTGAAGGGCTCCGGGACCTTTGCGTCGCAGCGTGCCTTGGCCTGATTCAGCCTGAAGGATTGCTCTCTGGATGTCACACAGCTTCTTAACTGCCAACATCAGCTTCTTCTGGTGGCCTGGAAGCAAATTGAATTATCAGACTCAAAACACAGACAGAAACACAGTCCACAAACTCAAAGATCCAACGAGTCCTCACCCAGCTTGGTGATGCCGATCTCCTGCAGATCCTCCCAGGTGAGGTCTTTGACGATGCTGATGGAGTCATAGCCATTTTCTGAGAGTTTTTTGTGGTACTGTGGGAGGCCGATGGCACTGAGCCACTCGCAGAGATCAGACTGTGAGAAAAGGCCACGTGAGTTGGATCAGGTGAAAAGTATTGATCTTATTATGCAGCAGTGTGTGCACGAAACAGCGGACAGTCTTACTGGGATGTACTCTGGCAGCCACTCGGGGATGTTCAGGTTGTTGATCTCAATGGAGATTTTCTTGCGGTGTCCTGGTTTGGTCACTCCGATGGCCGTGAGATCCTGCACACATTAAACATCAGTGAGTCACCACACGCCACACGCAGAGCCGCACAGTCCTGAGACTGCATCTGAGACTGAGTTTATATCAGTGGTTTACAGTCAGCGTGACACGGGTCAATACTTCACTGGATTATTCAGTTAATCACAAAGAAGAATCTGTCTATGAAAAAAAGGTTCTGTAATTTGTAAGTTTTTACATTGTGTCAAGAATATTTTCGAATTATGAAATACTCTTTAACTTTCACTGATCTTTAGATCATTTTAAACCGGAATAAATAGTGAATTGAATGTGCGAGTGAATGGTTGTCTGTCCCTGTGTGTTAGCCCTGCGACAGACTGGCGACCTGTCCAGGGTGTACCCTGCCTCTCGCCCTATGACAGCTGGGATAGGCTCCAGCGCCCCCCGCGACCCTGAAAAGGATAAGCGGAAGCGAATGGATGGATGGATGAATTTACACATTTACAAACGTTTCGCTTCTAATTTTTCTTTCTAACATTTATAAAAAGTTCTGTCACCACTGTGATGTCACCTGTTGGTTTTTGAAGCTTGTGAGCTTTTTTTCGGAAACAGAAACCTTTGGGCAACAAGCGGCGTGGATCTGGAAAATTATTTTTTCATGACATCTAATAGAATTCTAGAATTTTATTATATTTTATGAAGGAGGAAGTCATCTACATAAATCAAACAGTTTGTGTATCAGGCTGTAAACACGTTTGTTTCAGCTGTAAAGTTTTAACATGGGAGTTTATGGGGACTGACTCACTGCTGCCCCTCCTGGGTGTTGGAGAAACTGCAGCTTTTGGTGGTTCAGCGCTAGCCTCATTTTATCAGCTCCGGAGGTTGTCATTTAAGTGAAATCACAATGCCACAATGAGTGTAAAAAGAAAACGCAGAAGTCATGGGAGAAGAGTACAAGGATCTAAAACCTGCAGGGTGTGTTCAGGTCATTGTGAATCAGGTCCAAGTGTGCTGGGACCTGTTTGTGTCAGGGGTCCTCTTAGATGGAGATGCAGTTTGTTTTCCTTTGGGTTGGTTCTGATGCAGTGGGTCTAAATTTGGGTCATCCTATGTTGATACTGAGGGCGGATGACTTCAACAGAAGTTGTGCAGTTCTTTTTTAATAAAGGAGTGAAGGGTCACCTCAGGGGTCATCCTGCTGATGGTCGGTACATCATATCCAGCGTTCAGGAAGTTTCCGGTGTACTGCTCGAGCTGGAACTCACTTAGCCACTGATAGATGGCTTCTGCATCCTAAAACACACACAGACATTAATTCATCAGGTGATACACGCAAGTAAGATCTTACTTCTTTTAGTTACAGCTTTTAAATAGAACCAGAGGCCAGCTCAGAGGAATCAGGTTTATGTAAACTCTCAGTTTGTTAAACCTGCTTTCTGGAACTTTCCCACGCTGATGTGCAAATTATTGTGATGCAAAACAAAAACTAACAGCATGAAGTTGGTTTTAAAGTGCTGCTTTTTACCTTCCCATCCAGCAGCTGCTGAGGACGAACAAACTGCTGGGAGAAGCTCTGCTCTGCAGGTCTCTGCACCGTCACTGTCTGCCTCCGAGGAGTCCCGCCTACACGAAGGAGATGATCAACGCAGATCAAACACACCTTAGATATTATTTACTGCAGCACCTCAAAGTGACAGGAGGTAAAATAAGGCAGGAAATGGAACGGAAGGACCAATGTATGCTGCTGCAGAACATATCTCTGCTTCACAGATGGTGCATTACGACTTTTATCGTAATTTCAGATGTGATTTAAGACCAGTGTTGGGAAGATTACTTTTAAAATGTATTCCACTACAGATTACAGATTACATGGCCCAAAATGTATTTTGTAACATATTCGGTTACATTACTCAATGAGAGTAACATATTCTGAATAATTTGGATTACTTAATATATTATCATGCTTTTTACAACTATATGAAAGTACTATGCCCCTCTGCGAATCGCTACCTTATCGCGGTGGAGGGGTTTGTGTGTCCCAGGGATCCCAGGGGCTATGTTGTCTGGTGGCTAGCCCCTTGGTAGGGTCTTCCATGGCAAACTGGTCCTGGGTGAGGGACCAGACAAAGAGTGATTTAGGAGACCCCTATGAAAATACCACCGAGGGAACAGTTCACCCTGCCCGGGATAGGGTTACTGGGGCCCCACCCTGGAGCCAAGCCCAGGGAGGGTACCCGAGGGCGAGCGTCTGATGGCCAGGCCTTAGTCCATGGGGCCCGGCCGGGCACAGCCCGAAAAAGGGAGATGGGCCCATCTTTCTGCAGGCCCACCACCGCACGACTCACCATAGGGGTCGGGTGCAATGTGAGTCGGGTGGCAACCAGAAGCGGAGGTCCTGGCGGACCGATTCCCAGCTACAAAGACTGGCAACTGGGACATGGAATGTCATCTCTCTGGTGGGGAAAGAGCCCGAGTTAGTGCGTGAGGTTGAGAGGTACCAGCTAGATACAGTCGGGCTCACCTCAACGCATGGCCTGGGCTCTGGAACCAGTCTCCTGTAGGGGCTGGACTCTGTCTCGGTCTGGAGTTGGCCCTGGTGAGAGGCGTCGGGCTGGGGTGGGTATCTTGTTATCCCCTCGGCTTGCTGCTGGTATGTTGGGGTTTCTCCCAGTGGACGAGAGGGTTTGTTCCCTTCTCCTTCGGGTCAGGGAACGGGTCTGACTGTCATCTGTGCTCATGCGCCAAGTGGCAGTTCAGAGTACCCAGCCTTTTTGGAGTCCCTTGTTGGGGCACTGGAGGTAGCTCCCCCTGGGGACTCTGTTGTCCTACTGGGAGACTTCAGTGCTCACGTGGGCAACGACAGTGAGACCTGGAAGAGTGTGATTGGGAGGAATGGCCTCCTGGATCTGAACCCGAGTAGTGTTTTGTTACTGGACTTCTGTGCAAACCAGTTTGGCCATAACGAACACCATGTTCGAACATAAGAGTGTCCATAAGTGCACGTTGCACCAAGAAACTCTAGTCCACAGGTAGATGATCCATTTTGTAATCCTATCACCAGACCTGAGGCCTTATGTTTTGCACACTCGGGTAAAGAGAGGGGCTGAGCTGTCAACTGATCAACACCTGGTGGTGAGTTGGATCAGGTGGCGAGGGAGGACACTGGACAGACCTGGCGTGCCCAAACGTACAGTAAGGGTGTGCTGGGAACGTCTAGCAGAGGCCCCGGTCCGCGAGATCTTCAACTCACATCTCCGGCAGAGCTTCAACAGCATTCCGAGGGAGACTGGGGACATTGAGTCCGAATGGACCATGTTCAGCACCTCCATTGCTGAAGCCGCTGCACTTAGCTGCGGGCGCAAGGTAGTTGGTGCCTGTCATGGTGGTAATCCCCGAACCAAATGGTGGACACCAGAGGTGAGGGGAGCCACCAAGCTGAAGAAGGAGTCCTATCGGGCTTGGTTAGCCTGTGGGACTCCGGAGGCAGCTAATAGGTACTGACAGGCCAAGCAGAATGCAGCGGGGGGTGGCAGAAGCAAAAACTCGGGTGTGGGAGGAATTTGGAGAGGCTATGGAAAAAAAGACTTTGGGACTGACTCGAAGAGATTCTGGCAAACTGTCCGGCGACTCAGGAGGGGAAAGTGGTGCTCTACCTGTATTGTGTATAGTGCGTGTGGAGTGCTGCTGACTTCGACTGAGAAAATTGTCAGGCGGTGGAAGGAATACTTCGAGGATCTCCTTAATCCAACTGGCACGTCTTCCGTGGTGGAAGCAGAGTCTGGGGACGAAGGGGATGACCCACCAATCTCTGGGGGTGAGGTCACTGAGGCAGTTACAACTCCTTGGTGGCAGAGCCCCTGGGGAGGACAAGGTCCGCCCCGAGTTCCTGAAGGCTCTGGATGTTGTAGGGCTGTCTTGGTTGACAGGTCTCTGCAATGTTGCGTGGAGATCAGGGGCAGTACCTGTGGACTGGCAGACCAGAGCGGTGGTCCCCATCTTTAAGAAAGGGGACCGGAGGGTGTGTTCCAACTACAGGGGAATCACACTCCTCAGCCTCCCTGGGAAAGTCTATGCCAGGGTGCTGGAAAGGAGAGTTTGTCCGCTAGTCGAACCTCTGATACAGGAGGAACAATGCGGTTTTCGCCCTGGTTGTGGAACACTGGACCAGCTCTTTATCCTCTCGGCGCATGGGAGTTTGCACAACCAGTCTACATGTGTTTTGTGGACTTGGAGAAGGCATTCGACCGTGTCCCTCAGGGGGGTTCTGTGGGGAGTGCTCCGGGAGTATGGGGTGTTTGGCCATTCAGTCCTTATACGACCATTGCAAGAGCTTGGTCCCCAAAGCCGGCAATAAGTTGGACTTGTTCCTAGTGGGTGATGGGCTCCGCCAGGGCTGCCCTTTGTCACCGATTCTGTTCGTAGTTTTTATGGACAGAATTTCTAGGCATAGCCAAGTGACGGAAGGCTTTCACTTGGGTGGTCTCAGGATCTCATCTCTGCTTTTTGCAGATGATGTGGTCCTGTTGGCTTCATCGAGTGATGGCCTCCAGTTTGCCTTGGAATGGTTCGCAGCTGAGTGTGAAGAGGTGGGAATGACAATCAGCACCTCCAAATCTGAGGCCATGGTCCTCAGCCGGAAAAGGGTGGAGTGCCCATTCCGGGTCAGGGATGAGTTCCTGCCCCAAGTGGAGGAGTTTAAGTATCTCGGGGTCTTGATCACGAGTGATGGGAGAAGGGAGCCGGAGATCGACAGACGGATTGGTGCGGCTGCAGTGATGCGGACGCTGTACTGGTCTGTTGTGGTGAAGAGGGAGCTGAGTGTAAAAGCGAAGCTCTCAATTTACCGGTCGACCTACCCTCACCTATGGTCACGAGCTGTGGGTAGTGACTGAAAGAACGAGATCGCGGATACAAGCGGCGGAAATGAGCTTCCTCCGAAGGGTGGCTGGCCTCTCCCTTAGAGATAGGGTGAGAAGTTCGGCCATTCGGAAGGGGCTCAGAGTAGAGCCACTGCTCCTCCACATTGTAAGGAGCCAGCTGAGGTGGTTCAGGCATCTGACAAGGATGCCTCCTGGGCGGCTCCTGGGCGAGGTTTTCCGGGCATGTCCCACTGGGAGGAGGGCCCGGGGCAGACCCAGGACACGCTGGAGAGATTATATCTCTCGGCTGGCCTGGGAACACCACCCCCGGATAAGCTGGAGGAGGTGGCTGGGGAGAGGGAGATCTGGGCTTCTCTGCTTGGGCTGCTGCCCTGCAACCCGGCCCCGGATAAGCGGAAGAAAAGGGATGGATGGATGGATGTACTATTGCTGTGTGATTTATTACTATTGCTGAAGGTTGCTCACCATACCAATATCAACTAGATTTTTTAATCTTAATATAAAATGAGTAACAGTAAGGTGGGCATTAGGTAAGGCTGCACTTTTTGCAGCGATCTCGTATAGAAAAATATTTCTGTATCAGTAATATGTTTTCTTTTTGTCTGTTAATAATCATGTGGAACTGCACATGATTATTTGCAGCTAGCAGGTTGTTAATGCTATCCATCAAGTCTAAAAACAGCATGTTAAAACGTGGAGATCCTGAAGGCTGAAAGTGTTCTAACATCTCAGCTGTTTGTTTTCATTCAGGCATACATGTGTATTATGTTTATTAACAGAGAGATGAAGCTTGCGTTTCTGTCATGTAGTGATTGTGCTTACCTGTATGAAGCTTATTAGACATTATGAAACAGATGATACATAAAAGCAAATCTTGCCAAAGTGCTTAAAATACTTTTTGAAATTACCTTTTTTTTCTTAAAGAAATCTACTACATCATTAGTAAGTTTTATGTCATGTGTAATTTCCATTGCAAATATTAATCACAGTTAAATTAAGAGGGGATGGAGCTGTGATGTCATCAAGTACACTGCCGTTCCAATTGTGGAAAGATTGCGCTGTGTTCTCAGGAAATCTTGAGTATTTACAAACAGTCTAACAGTCTATGATCTAACCTCAGCTAACGCCAGCTAATAATGTTAGCTCGGTGGAGAGTAGCCTTCATTAATAGTAATAAAAATCACACAGCAATAGAACATCGAAGATACTGAATCCAATTCTTCTTAAGGAGTGGTGTTGGAAATTCCAAGTAAGAATTCCTGCCCGTGCACTGCTGGCTCTGTTGTGCTGGCTCCGGGTCCATTGTGTAACTGACACTATTAACAGGACGCTTACATTAGAGCCTCTTATTGAGTGTTTTGTTTGGGTTTTCAGCAATGAGAATCAGTGTATTAATCCCAGAAGGAAATTGAGTAAAGTGCCGCGGGTCGTACTTGAACACGGGCCGGCCGCTCTCAGCTATGCACCATATGCTTGCATGCTCATCCAACTGACCTACACCTACCCTCCACTGCATTTAATCACCAAAATTGGAGAAAGCATAGAGAGGGGATAGCCTAACATATGAAACAGGAAATGACCGCCGAGTATTCTATTTATTTCAACAAAGTAACTGTATTCTGATTACCACCTATTTAAACGGTAACTGTAAGGGAATACTCATATTTTGTATTTTAAATATGTAACACCAGTACATGTATTCTGTTAGTCCCCAACACTGTTCAACACACAGACAGTCGCAGCAGATGGCCCCGCCCCTCCCTGAGCCTCAGGTTACTTCCTCTTATAAGGGGGTTTTTCTGCTCATAGGGGGTCATATGATTTTGGGGTTTTTCTCTGTGTGTATTATTGTAATATAATGAATTGAATTGAACTGAATAGGTACCTGCAGGATGATCGGCCGGCCTGCCAAAGTCAGCAGACTGCCCTGGATCAACAGCAGAGGGCGCCGCCTGCACATAAAAACATGTAAAACAGCAGCGGCGCAGTCAGCGAGCAGCACAGAGCTTCACATCAACACACAAAATAAAATAATTTAGAAGAAAAACTATAAATGCAAAGGCAAATCTGTGCAAATCGTGACACATGAGAGATTTCAGCAAATCTTTAGGTCAGTTTAGGAGCTTTTACTGAGTCTGACTCTCAGGTATTCAAATCATTAATGTGATAAGCATTTTGGATTAACAGGCTTCTCCCTTATGAGTCCAATTTTCTCTAACCCTTTTTTCAGCCATCATTATCTGATCCTATATTTCGAGATTGGCATGACAGGGGCATTACATGTTTCAATGATCTGTTTTTTGACAATACCTTTACATCTTTTGCTCAGCTTTCTGAAAAGTTTAATCTCCCACGTACACATCTTTGCAGATATGTGTAGATCAGACATTTCCTTCAATCTCAGATTCCAAATTTCCCGGTAGCTCCAGCTGCAAGCCCAGGGGATATGCACCTTACTCTAGTTCCAACACGTAAAGGGTTTATCTCTTATCTATGACAGGCTGGTGAGCATGAACGTTTCCTCGATAGATTGGATTAAAACGGCCTGGGAACAAGATTTAAATCAGTCATTGTCTATGGATACACGAGACTTAATGTGCCGCCACTGTCTTTTACAATTTAAGGTTGTGCATAGGTTCCATCTCTCCAAAGTCAAACTATCTCGTACGTATCCAAATGTTGACCCCTCTTGTGATAAGTGTGGGAGTGCGGAGGCTTCCCTTATCCATATGTTCTGGGCGTGCCCTAGCCTTGAGAGATATATTTCAAACCTTGTCCCTAACTCTTGGACACCATATGGATCCTAATCCATTAGTTGCTCTTTTTGGCACCACCGGGGAGGCTGATGCACGGTTGACCTCGTCACAGCGTTGCACGCTCTCCTTCGCCTCCCTTGTAGCTAGACGTACAATCCTACTAAGATGGAGGGCTGCCCCTTTGCCCAGCCAGGCTCAATGGCTGAGGGACCTTATGTATTATCTGAGCCTTGAAAAGATCCGGTATGCGATTAGTAATAACAGCGGCAAGTTTTACAAGGTGTGGGGGCGATTCCTGAAACACTTTTCCAGCCTTGGAATCCGACTTCCAGCATTACTCAGTAAATCCTCCCCCCTTCTTCTTCTTTTGTAAACTGATAAAAGCAATAATAAGACATGTGAGCGTTCACTCAGTTCAAGTCAAATATGAAATGTTTCCATCCACAGTGCAGTGATAACTTCTCACAGGGCAGAACTGAAAACACAAGCTGTCTGTAGCATCTGCAGCCATCAGATGTACTCGGCGTGTCAGGAGTCACATGTCATTTCCTCATCTAATTCTGTGTTTCACGTGATTCGTGACACCCGAGCTTACCGAGGTCTGTTTATGTAAACTCCTAAATCCTTTTCCAGAAATCAATAAAAGTGTGTTTCAGGGGGTCAAAGGTCACAGTGGGGCTGTGGTAGTGAAACCGACTCAGTCAAAACATTTCTGTATTCAAATCAGAGACTCGCCCAGATTAAAGTTTCCAAATCTGAGAAACGGGCTCAAAAAAAAGGTGCTTATGTGTCCACGTGCATCCGCTGTACCTTGTTGTCATGGTGACTGGCGTGGTGCTGCAGTCCGTTGGGGGCGTGGCTGCTCTCAGTGCTCTGCCCGCTGCCGGCGCTGCGGGTGCTGCCCACGCTGCCGGTGCTCCCGACGCTGTTTCTGTCTCCAGCTGCAAACCAAAAACACGACAATGAACAAACCCGCCAGCCACCATCAACGCACGTCAGGCTGGAGGAAGCTGGGGGAGATGGGGGGTGGCGGACGGGATGCGTGGGAGCACAGCTGCAGGCACGAGTCTGACCGGGAAGCTGCTCGTGCAACATCTACCTGAGCTGCACGAGCAGCTGGAAAGCTTCTCAATCGACCCGGAATCACGTCAGGATCAAAAGATTCTCCCGCTGATCCGCCGCCGCTGAGAGAAAAGCATCGAATCATGCACAACATTTCCTCAAACACACCTGATCCGTGCTCACAAACGCAGCTCTGCAAACTCCCCTGTGGGAGCCCGGCGCTCAGAGCGCGAGTTCAGGCTGAAGCAGGCAACACAGCGCATCATTCAGAGTGTTTGGACCCGACACACCAGGACGACTCTCCCGCCTTTTCTTTAACGGCTGGTTTCACACAACTGGCGTGACGAGCGGCGAGGGGACTAAATGATGTATCTGCATTTAGTTTTGAGTGCTGTGAGGTAAAGTCTCAGCTGCAGCAGGTCTGAAAGAGAGGACTGACCATCTCATTCAGTCATACATTGGAGCGGTGGAGGTTTCTCTCACTCGTACAGGTTAGGGTCGCCTGAGCCGCTGAAGCTGGACGTAACTGGACTTTGTTTCAGGTTCCTGAAGATGTTTCAGCTGCCATCCGAAGGCGTGAAGTCAGAGGAGAAACGTGTTCAAGAACCTAAAAAGTCCAGCTGCGATCAGCAGACCACCACGTCTCAAACTTCCTAAACTCTTAGATTATTTCAAAGTGTGTTTTGAGCCAGGAACAGCCTTTTAGCTCTCAGCACGCTCACCTCGCTGCTGAAAAGATTGAACTTTCTGCTACTGAGCACTAAAGCTCGACATCTGAAGCCAACTTCCTGTTTGCTTTCTCTGGGAGCTTCCCCTCTCAAACAGACTCGGCGTCATGGTGGAAGTGATAGCACTGGTGACATCAGAGGGCGCGAACAGACGTACAAACGATTATTCGACAACATGAAGCAACTTGAGACATCACGAGGAGGCCCGAGGTAAAGCCAGGCAGCTACAGGAGGCGCCCAGAGAGTGAGTGAGGGGCGTTTGGCGGTCTTGGTGTGTGGGGTCCTGATGCAGAGCGTTGAGCGGGCAGCGGAGCAGCTTCAGAGCAGCCGGGGAGGAAGAGCTGACGTTAGTGGGGGGCTCTTACCATGACACGAGTCCCTGAGAACCCAGATGTCCTCAAAGGGACACCCAGACTGAGACAGACGGCTCGGAGACGAACCTATCAGACACAGAGACTCGGATGGACCTGGTTCTGTCAGGGAAGGGGAGGGGGGCTGACTGAGGGGGTGGGCTGAGGTGCAGGACACAGGTCAGGGTTCAAGCTACAGTCACACCTGTGCAGGTGAGTGATGAGTCACCTCAAAGACACGGTGACAGGAAGGACCCCACATGCACGCACGCACGCACGCACACGCACGCGCACACTCACGCACGCACGCACACTCACGCACACACACGCACACACACACACACGCACACACACACACACACACACACACCACACACACACACACACACACACACACACACTCACGCACACACACACACTCACGCACACACACTCACACACACACACACACGCGTGCACGCACACACACACACGCACACACACTCACACACACACACTCACACGCACACACACACACACACACACACACACACACTCACGCACACACACTCACGCACACACACACACACACACACACACACACACGCACACACACTCACACACACACGCACACACACACACGCACACTCACACACGCACACACACTCACGCACACACACACGCACACACACACACACACACACACACACGCACACACACTCACGCACACACACACTCACGCACACACACACTCACGCACACACACGCACACGCACACACACCTTTGTGATCTGTGCGTGTGGCTGCAGTGTTAGCCGTGGATCATTAGCATCACGTTCTTTTTCTAAAGTTTTGCCAAAGACGCAGCCTGTGTGGAGGAGGCGGAGCATGTAACACGGCTAACATCAGCACACACGCTCTGCAGTGTGACGTTACTGTGGTGTGTGTGAGAGAAGAAGGCGTGGTTTTAAAATGATCCATGAACATGAGAACAACAGTAACAGATCTGAAACAATGGAGCAACAAACTGACCAATCAGCACAGCGACACCACGACAGTGTGTGTGAGTGTGTGTGTGTACCTGCGCTGGTCGTGAGGCCGTTGGGCAGCGGCAGCACCACGTGGGTGGGGGGTGCATACAGAGCGTAGGAGTCGTCGGTCTGAGGGGCGGAGCTGAGGCTGGAGGAGAGGGGGGCTCTGGACAGCAACTGCTGGCGCTGGGTGGGCAGAGAGGCGTGCCGGGAGAGGGTGCCCCCTACAGGCGAGACGGGGGAGGGAGGAGGGGGAGGTTATCAAGCTGATGGTTAGAGGTGGAGGTGAGTGATTATGTGGTGTGGATGGAGAGATGGATGCTGGAAGGCGGAGCGAGGAGCATGGGATGGTTTGCAAGCAAGCGGATTAGTTTCTGTCTCAGGTGGAGGGGGGGAGGGGGCGGGGTTTTAAATCGATCGACTCCTACAGGAAGTGAAGACTCGTTCTACTCACACTGAGGGGGGGCTTTGCATGATTCCCAGCTCAAAACAATCCTTATTTATCTGATTCTGGGCCTCTGTGTGTGACAGAGAGACGTATCTGATGCTGCGACTAACAGACAGGTGGGTGCACCTGACCCCTCAGCCGACGCCTGCGAGAACATTTCTAAAGCAGCGACCTCGCACCGACTGACCGTTCCTCCTGCTGATGACCTCCACGATGGTCGGGGGGAAGAAGCCCACTCTGTCCACGCCTCTCTGGCTGTCGTGGATGTGGCCTTTCCAGCGTCCGTCCACGTGCTGCTCCAACACCTGCAAAGGACCTCAGCCTTAACCTCAGATCACAGCATCATTCGAGGATGGTTTCAGTGAGAACGAGCTACACGTCAAATGTTCGGGTTAGCGTTTCGCGGCAGCAGCTCATCAAAGGCTTAATTAAGACGTATTAGTTTGGAATAACTATGAAGTGCGTCACCAGCAGAGCTTTGACTGCAAATGCTGTTTTACTACTTCACACCTCCCGGAGAAGAGTCTGGGTTTTCCTGCTGTTTACACAAGAACGGGAGCGCTGCGCCTCCCCCGCCGGCCTCCGTCAGGTTTAACACTGAACGCAGGTCTCAACACGAGGCCTCGTACCTGCATCACCTCGACACCTTCGGCTTTGCTCACCTGCGTGACTCACTCACAGGAAGTGGCTCAGATCTGTGGTTAGTTCATATGAAATCATCCTGACTGAACTCGGTGTGACACACGCCACCTTCATACAGGAAGTGCGGACTTGTCTCCGCCTGCCTCTGAGGCGCGATTGTGATTTCATGCTGCATTTAAAAAAACTAAACGTGGGCCTAACACTCGTCACATCTCACACACAGATAAATGTGTTTTGTTTAATGAGCTGTAATTTTCCGTGGCTCCATCTGCATCCCCTCAGCTGGCAGGTCAAAGCCCGGGCGCCTCACCGTGATCAGGTCTCCGGCCCGGACGTTGAGGGCGGTGGGATCGTGGAGGTTCCAGTAATCCTTCAGAGCTCTGACCTGCAAAACGCCCGTCGCATCTGAAGAAACACAAACAGGAAGTAGGTGAGAACAAAAACAACAGGTTCATTTTTAGTTTTTAAAGTTACGACTTGTGTCATTTCACAGCTAATAAACAGCATCCAAATATGTATGAGCAGAACTTTAAGGCACTAATTATTAAAAGCTAAAAATCTTATTTACAAAAACAAACGTATGCAAAATGAGCTTATTTTAGCTGAGTTCGTTACGGCTAATGTCAGCGCTAAAACGACTTCAGCTGCGCTGCTAGCTTCAGTCCAGGTGTGCAGTTTGCTGTAAGCATCTTTTTATGAGCTCGATAGTTATCCCGAACACCGTCACACACAAACGCTGATTCATTTTCTCCTGATTACAAACGTGGAAATGACTCATTAGCTTGGCAGAATATGTCAGGATATAACAGTGTAAATATCCACATGTATTATTTATCACTCGCTGTTGCACAGGAAGTGTGAGTGAATAAGCAGCATCGTTCTTTTGTATCTCTGAGCTGTTTTCTGTTCAGTCTCTAGTTTTCGGTGAAATTCATTTTACTTTTGTTTGGCCGTGAAACGCTCAGAGTTTTATTAGGTAGCGTGTGTTTGGACTGTGAGACGCAACAAGAACACGGATGCTTCTGCAGCGACTGTGGCGACAAACACCGTGAACTGAGAAGGAACCAACACATCTCACGTGATGTTAGCCGACGCCGTACCTTCTTCGGCTAAAATGTTGCCGAGTCTTAGTTTGAGTTCAGTGAAATAAACGGAGTGTCAGGAATAAGCGTCTAATAACAGCAGGCCTGAAATTTTAATGCGGAGGAAACTTCCACGTTGTGACTTTCAGCACTTCCACAAAGACGGAGCGAGACAGCGCACGCAGAGAATAACAAGCAAACGTTTTCTATAGAAGCTGAAACACATTCGACTGTCAGCCCGACTCTGCACCACACACGAGCGGCTGCTGACGCAGGCGCTAACAGCTCACATCAATAATTCATCTGCGGCGCGTGCCGGCCGAGCGCGGACCAATTATTCATCTCCGCTCGGCAGCAGTAAACGAGGCGGGAAAGTCTCCGTCCGAGTTTCAATCACTGCTTCAACACAACCGCTCATTATTCCCTCAGTCTGTTCCCACAGGAGCTTCAAACGCTGCAGGAGTACGGAGCGCGCTCACGCGCCGCATGTGCAGCCGCATTTGAAGCCATGACAACGACAGATAAGAGTTTAACGTTATGTAACTGCAGATTTATACGCGGCCGCTGTGATCAGGTGGTCAGGTGGAAGCACGGCAGAGCAACGCTTTGTGTCACAGATCTCGTGTTTAAGAAGCGCATTTGGAGCTGAGGCAGAGCAGACGTGGTGGGGGAGCGAGGAGGAAGCCGAGCTGGGTTTGATTGGACCTCGTAGCAGCTGTTTGATGTCCCTGCTGGCGTGCGAGGTGGTGAACTGGTTGACGATGTCCAGCGCCGTCTGGTTGTAGGTGTTTCGGATGTTCACGTCCACTCCGGCCTGCACCGACAACAACACAACACGAAGCTGTTTCAGTGATATCGCTGCAGGACCCGCTCTTCACTCACAGCATCGCATCCATTAATCATCCATCAAATCTCAATCTGAATTTCATTGGACATCAACCGAATGTTTTAAACAGATACTGCAGATGTTTCACACATGCACAAACACACACGATGCAGGAAATAAACTCACGTCCAGCAGCAGTCGGACCACTTCAGTTTTCCCGTACAGCGCCGCTTCGTGCAGAGCTGTTCCAGACTTGGTGGTCTTGTTGATGTCCATGCCGGCCTTCAGCAGCAGCCTGAAAGCAGAGCAACGACTCACAGCCGGGGCTGATTTTACATCCCTGTTTTGGCTGAATGTCTCCTGCTACACACGTCTGCACATTTCACACAGTTACTGTAGCTGCACACACTGAGCCGAGTCCTAATAATGAGCTTTGTTACTAACAGCAGGTGGGATGGACGCACTTCTCTTCACTCTTGTTGCCTTGAACTGTGCAGTATTACAGTGATCAGTGATGATGATGATGATATCAGTGATGATGATTAGGGCAGGGCAATATGGTCAAAAATATTTGTCACGATATACATTTGAAAATGTGCAATAACGATATAACTGACGCGAGACAAAACTCCACAACTTTATTAGTGCAAAACCCATCAATGCATTTTCACTTAAACAAGCAGCTGTTTTTTTTATGTGCATTAAAGTTATATAAATATTTAAAGTGCAAATGCAAACTCCTCGCTGACAGTTTAACCAAAAGGCGTTTCCAGTGGAAACTGGCCGACACATCCTCAGCATAACCATGTATAACATCAACAAAACTTAAAGAGGTTATACACACACACACACACACACACACACACACACACACACACACACACAATACGGTAACATTATGTTGAAGCACAGTACGTATCACTCCACGAGGCTCCGCCTACAACAGCCGTAACGCTCCGACAATCCATCAAGCGGTGCGGCTTCGTAGCTTAGCAAAGTCGTACTGAAACATCTGACAGATGTTCGAGCGCCGTGCACATAAAATCGTTTCGAGGTCAGTAAACACAACCAGAGTTCATACATAAGGCACACGGGATTATAAGGAGCTCTGTCGACTTTCAGAAAAATCAAAGGATTGATTTTAAGTGCGCCGTATTTTCCAAACAACACGGTAATAACGACGGCCCGCTAGCATGCGCTACCAAAAATAGTGCTTTGTTGTGTATCTGACGGACGAAAGCTAAACCAGTTCCACACCAGTGAAGCTGCAACGTTTTACAAACCAGTTCTGGTTCATGATTTCATTCAACGATCCGCTCTCACCCTCCTCATTCTGCGTCGACACCATCTGCGTATGAAAACACGCATGCGCGTGTTACCCATATTTACGCCATATTTCATTTTCTTATCGTTGCCCAACATTATACCGGTATTACCGTGAACGGTATGATGTGGCCCAGCCCCAGTGATGATGGTGTCAGTGATATTATCAGTTTCACACTGAAACAAACAGCGCAGGAAAGAAGAGCCTTGATTCAGTGAAACAGCTCGGCCTCATTTTCTCTCACTTATTATTCAGCAGGTGAAAATAAACGTCTAAAATACTGCCTGTTAGATTCAGCTGCACACACACACACACACACACACACACACACACACACACACACACACACACACACACACACACACACAGGAATACTTGTAAGCGGGATGAAAAGCTGTGAAACTGGGTCACAGACGTTGTAGTGGATTTCATATCTCTGCAGGGAATGCGAGGCATGAAGAAGACTCCCAGAAATAAAAACACACACATACACAGACACAGACACACACACGGAGCCAGCTCCACCATCCCCGTGCGAGTGTGCCGGCTCAGCGGTTACACCACAGACCACAGGAGCTCTGCCCTCTGATTGCAGCATCTCTGCAGCTCACACTCACTTACACACTCAGCGTATTCACACACACACACACACACACACACACACACACACACACACACACACACACACACACACACGCAGAGTTATGAAGCGCTCTCGTCTCACCGTATGACGTCCTTGTGCCCGTTGCGAGCGGCGAGGTGCAGCGGGGTGGTGAAGGCCGAGTCCATCGGCTCCTTCCTCTCGCCCTCCAGCAGCGCCACCACCATGTTACTGCTCAGCAGCAGCTGGGCCACCTGAGGGGAGGAGTCAAAGAGAAGAAGTTTCCCAGAGTCAGAAGCTCCCACGGTGCATCGTGATTCCTGTTTCCACAGCAGAGCCAAAGCTCGGGAAGATTCAGCTCATTAACACAGATCACAAACAAACATCCCATAATTATAAGATCACCAGGTCCCTGTGACTTGGACGTTCTTTCCTCAGAGTTTCAGTGATTTCTATTCAAAATGATCCAGGACACGGTGACGTCAAACCAGGGATCACGTTCACGGCCGATCACACACGAACACGTCAGACTTTGTTTCATGGACGACAGAGCAAAACAATAACAGGTCGTGGATTACTCGTTTCCACTCGTCTGGTTGCAGAAACGTGTGGACAGCAGGGCGATGGACGACCTGTGCTATGTTGATAATTATGAAGGTTTGGGTTGATATCTCCCACACGTGCTCGTGTTTGTCATCCCAGCTGACGTCAGCTCCCTGTCCTCCCTGTTCTAGAAAACAGACTCCTCCTGAGCGCTTTTAAACTTCCCAAATTCCAAATCCTGAAGTTTTGGGCTTCAAGCAGGTTTATGAAGGTTGATCCTGGACGGACATCCTGTGAAACAGGAAGTGGAGAAAGCTGAGACTTAAGATGAGACTGGTAGACACGTAGCACCTCTTTACTCTTTTTGGTAATGACTGGACTGGCTACCATCACCATCATCATCGTCAGCCTGTGCGTGCGGACAGCTGACAGGTCACGTAATGAGTGCTAGCTTCGCCGTCGGTCCATCAGTTGTCAAATCTTCCACGTTCAGCATGTCTTCGTTCACTCGCTACACCCACAGCACGGCTCCACCTGCAGACGACCACGCAGGTGAGCGTGAGCTAACACATCAGTGACACAATCCAGATGTTTAGTGTGAGACACAGCTGGACGCTTTAGGCAGCAGTGCGCTCATGTGAACCCGATGACCCCGCCCCCAAACTGACATACAGGATTGCTGCGTTGAACGTGAAAATAAGCACTAACGAAAGTACTGTACCAACTGTATTCTCCCTCTGTTCTCTCAGAGGAGGATTCCTGCAGGTCAGTGATGAGGAGCTGATAAATGACCTCGGAGAGCAGTTATGAAACTCTTGAATGGCCACACGGCCACACTGCAGCTCAGGTGAGTACACCTGGGTGAAGAGAAGTTCAGCTGAACCGAGGAGACAACACGAGTAAAACAAAACTGTGGCAGCAGAAGCTGGTTTGGATCCCTCGTATCATCAGAGGAACATCATCAGGAGGGACGCCGACCCGCGGCGATGAGCGTCGCTCCGTGTGGCTGATCGCTGAGGAGAGGGAGCTGAGCACCAGCTGATCGGGCGGAGCTTAACGGAAACGCAGCACCTGCGGGCGACACGCCCCGACATCGTGAGCGGCAGCTGAGGCCAAAGCTCACCGACGCACGTCTGTGCTCCCGTGTTTGTGGGGACGCCGTCTGTAACCCACAGGGACAGACTCCACCCTCCAGCATCCCCGTGCCCAAAGACGAGCGTCATGAAATCCTGAAAACGTCGAGTGAGAGGATCTGCTGTACGACACGTCGGCTCTGGGCTGCTGTCACAGCTGTCTGTACCACATCTGTGCTCCTCTTCATGGTTCCTCTTCTTTGTGAACTCTCTTTCCTCTTCATCAAATCCCAGCATCAGCACCGGGGCTATCTGCTGCTGCAGACTGGGAATCCTGAGCCACTGGTTTATGGAGGCTTTGAAGCATTTTGGCCGCTGGGCTTTTGTGCAACGGCCAAATTGGAGCGCTACGCTTTCGGCTATGCTAGCTGATAAAAGCACGTAACTGATTACTGCTCAGTAACATCCAATCAGCCTCGTTGGATCATCTGTTAGCACAAGACCGTTTCAAAAAGCTCCAACAGCACAAACACATGACTCAGAACAAAGATGGCTGACAGGAGGTCGTCTACAAATCCAGCCTGAAAACAGAACGATCCACCTGATGAGCGCGGCTGGAAAAGCAAAAGTGCCACGTATGTCTGCAGTTCATCTTGTCTTTAAGACCCGCTTCCTAAAAGCACTCTACTGTCTTACTGGCCCACTTCTGGAAGCCTACAGAAGGGCAGTACTGTGAACTCCGCCTCTTCCTGCCACCGTGGAGGCTCCTCACACAGACTGTGGGAAAAACTTTAGCTGTGTCCCAAACAGTGCTCGGTAAGTTACATTAAAAAAGTAATTAATTACTAATTACTTAGTCAACATTGTATTTAAAATACTTATCTAATTACTGTGTCAGAAAAGTAACTTAATTACTAAATAAGTAATTTAACTAAATACTTCTTAAAATCCCTCTAAACCTTGAGCGGGCAAACAATAGAAATTAAACTCTTTGAATAGTAAATACATTTTTAAAGACGGAGACTCTGCAGCACGCAGCGGCAGCATCTCTTCCACAGTGTCGCCTGCAGTCATTTTTTAAGCACCGTCTGTGCTGCTGAAGTAAAATCAGGTTTTGCTGCTCAGCAGGAGTTGCCGCGCTGTTATCCATGGATGATGAAGGATCGCTCAGAAGTGTTCGTCTATGCTCCGTGTCAGGCGCTTCAGTAGGTTACTCCTGCTATGAACAGCAGCCCATAGTTTTTACATATTACTGTAATGTTCTTGTCTTCTTGTTTCAGAAAAGTGAAGAGACGGGAACATGTCCACGTCATGAAACAGCCACTCGTCCGACAGCTTCAGCTGTAGAAAACGACCGTGCAGCAAACTGGTGTGGCATGACGCGCAGCTGCGCTACAGCCATGTTAAAGAGCAGAGTTTACTTTCACATTTAGACGACAAATTATTGAAATTAAATAATAACATTCAGCGAGTTTAATTATTTTACAATGTAACGCAAGCACATTGTAAGTAACTGTAATTAAAATACCTAAAAATGAACAGTAATCAGTTACTCTACTTTTTCAGTGGAAAAGTAATTTAATTACAGTAACGCGTTACTTAGTAACACATTACACCCAACACTGGTCCCAAAACGTCGGCTGCATCCTTCAAAGGACGCATTTGAAGGCCGTCCCAATTCATCGACTCCTTTAAATGCGTCCTTCATTTCCCTGGATTTGAAGGATGGGTCGGGTGTGTCCTTCATGGCCCATCATATCCCAGAATTCATAGGCCAATTCCAGTTTTCAACAATGGCGGCCGCTACTAAGTTTTAAAATTACTCTTATTAATCTTTCTGGGTCACAAAATAAACATTTAAAATATTTTCAGGCGAGAATGTAGTTGTGTAAACATCAAATATCTGCTCGGTTTATCAAGACATCACATATTTGCAAAAGTGCTGCGACGTTTTCAGAGACGTCTGTGACCCACCAGCTCAAAGCTGACCGGGAGGTCGAGGGTCACTGGAGCCGGGGCGATAACAGCGGACTCCCGGCTTCATCGTTTTCAGACCCCCGCGGTCTGTCGCTACTCAGGTTAAACGTGATATATGAGTCACTCAGACAACCTAAAAATGTTCTTGTTGGGCTTTTTTCAGTGTTTGATTTGTTCCTCAGTAAATCGGTTTGGCTGAGATTAAAGTTATTAGATTAGATAAAATTAAACTTTATTAATCCATCGAGTGGGTTCCTCCTTTTTTTTTTTTCACACAGCTGAATAAACGTCAAACAGAAAACTGATAAACAGGAGTGTGAGACGGTCGAGTTTCCTCCGGTGTCCTGATATATTTTAGACAGCAAGGAGCAGACGGCGAGTTTATTAAACTCCACCCAGACAGCGGTGACGCTGATCTGAAGGTTCGACCGTCCCGTTTCACAGCCGCTCACTTCGCGGCCCACGTAGACCACGAAGGCCACGTCCTCCGAAGGATGTGGGCTGCGTTTTTAGGACACAGCTTTTGTCTTTGGTCCTTTTTATTCTTTTGCTTTTTTGTTACCGATTAATTTGAATCCATCACATATTTATTTTTTTGACCGTTTTTCACTTCAGAGACGTTCAGTCCAAAACTAAGAACTTTCCCAGTATCTGTGTAAAGTGCACAGAGACTGACTGCAGAATAAAAGTCCTTTATATGACCGTCAAACACGCGCTCACCTTAACTCGTCCAAACTCACAGGCCAGATCCAGAGGAGTCTTCTTGGCTTTGTTCACCAGACACGGGTTAGACTGATGCTGCAGCAACATCTCAGACTGCAACACACACACACACACACACACACACACAGTTACAGTCTTATTCAGCTTTGCCTGGTTCACAGTTGAATATAATCCTTCTTTATCTGGTCCTCGGTTCAGAGCCGCTCCTGCGTTCATCAGTCACATGATCTCCACCCACGAGCGCCGGCGTTAAACACAAACCTTACATGGACATTTGTCTGTTTGCTCCCTCTGAGCCTCTGATAATCAGGCAGTGTATGAAAATGGCTGATGCAGCACTTTCAGTACTTTTGTTCAGCTTGTTGACTTGAAGCTGAGAGTGTGCACGTCACTGTCGGGTGTAAGGGAGGCTAAGCTAAGCTAAGCTTCTGTAAACGCCGACACAGAGGCGCTGCGGCGTCTAGCAGCGCTGCATCCTCTGCTACTATCAGTCAGCGATGCTGAGACCTCCACGTGAGCCGTCATTGTTACCACAGCAGCCCTACAAACACGAGGCGCACATTGTCCAGCAGGAAGTAAACCTGGAGGACAGGAAGTCACGGATCAATCATTGCTAGAGGGCGCGATGTGAATCTGACTCCACATCAAACACTCAGCTCTTAGTCTTTCACATCCGTGCTGTCAGGAGGATCTGCTAACAGCTCTGTTCTGACCTGGAAACAAGACTCGAACGTCCAGATTAGCACGCCACCGTCGGGGTCACGGATGTAAACTCACCTACATTCATGCTAATCCTGGCCTCAAAACTGCGAGCGGTGTGTGTGACAGCGGGACGACTCAGCTGACCCGGGATTAACCCGCAAACCTGCTGCATTCATTTCATCAGCCAAACACCCTCCTCCTCCTCAGGCTCACATCTGGGCTGCTGCACCACCAAAACTCACTGCTCCATCTACCCCTCCCTCCTCCATCAGCACCACCTGAATCCCCACCAACCTGGGCTCCTCCCTCCTGTCGGACTTATTTATTACCCAGAGTGTTTAACAGAGTGACCTCGACCTGCCACTGTGAATAACACACACCTGAAGAGGAAACAGCTGAGTGTGTGTGTGTCTGCACGTGTGTGTGTGTGTGTGTGTGTGTGTGTGTGTGTGTGTGTGTGTGTGTGTGTCTGTACGTGTGTGTGTGTGTGTCTGTGTGTGTGTGTCTGCACGTGTGTGTGTCTGTCTGCACGTGTGTGTCTGTGTGTGTGTCTGCACGTGTGTGTGTCTGTCTGTGTGTGTGTGTGTGTGTGTGTGTGTGTGTCTGCACGTGTGTGTGTGTCTGTGTCTGCACGTGTGTGTGTGTCTGCGTGCGTGTGTGTGTGTGTGCGTGTGTCTGTGTGTGTGCGTGTGTGTGTGTCTGTGTGTGTGCGTGTGTGTGTGTCTGTGTGTGTGCGTGTGTGTGTGTCTGCACGTGTGTGTGTGTCTGTGTGTGTCTGCACGTGTGTGTGTGTGTCTGTGTGCGTGTGTGTGTGTGTCTGTGTGTGTGTGTGTCTCTTTCTGTGTGTGTGTGTGTGTCTGCACGTGTGTGTGTGTGTCTGCACGTGTGTGTGTGTGTGTGTGTGTGTGTGTGTGTACGTGTGTGTGTGTCTGCACGTGTGTGTCTGCACGTGTGTGTGTGTGTCTGCACGTGTGTGTGTGTGTGTGTGTGTGTCTGCGCGTGTGTGTGTGTGTGTGTGTGTCTGTACGTGTGTGTCTGCACCTGTGTGTGTGTGTGTCTGTGTTCATTTTTTGCCATCATATAAACACACATCTATTCCAGGCTGAGTGATGTGACCACAGGTCATGTGACTAGCGGTGACGCGTGTCACCTTCAGACTGCGCTCGCACTCACCACTTCGTAGTGTCCGTACTGAGCAGCCAGGTGCAGCGGGATGTGGCCGTCGAGTGAGGCGCCGTTGACCGAGGCTCCGGAGCGCAGCAGCATCAGGACCGACTCGGCTTTTCCCTGCCAGGCTGCATAATGCAGCGGGCGCATTCCTGCACGACACCAACAACACAAAAACCGTCGGTGTGAGCCGAGTCGCTGTAAAACACGTGGAGGCGGAGCCGATCACAAGGCGGTGTAACCGAGCGCCTCACCGTTACTATCCTTGATGTCCACGGTGGCCTGAGCCTCGAGCAGCGCTGCCAGCAGCTCGCTCGTCCCTGTGAGAGCGGCGTGGTGCAGCGCTGAGAACCTGGCAGGGGTCAAAGGTCACACAGAGAAACAAAGAGCATTAAAGTCAAACAACCCTCGCCTTCTAGTTTTCACTCGTTTCATTTTTCCAACATTAACTGTGATGGAAAATATTCCCAAACTTTGAAATTAAGACAGGAAGTCGACACAGTGACACTCCCAGTGTCTCGCCCTTTGGGGTAACCACACACACACTCACGCTTTATTCATGAACTTCCTGTGCTGTGTCATGTTTGCGTGTGTGTGTGTGACACAAAGGCGTCACTTTAACAGCTCGACAGAGCGGCGTGTGTTTCAGACTGAAAGCAGCTTCAGATCCTGTTTGCAGCGTGAGGCTCAGCTGGATGCCATCAGCCTCACACACACGTGCAGACACACACACACGCACACACACGCACACACACACACACACACGCACACACACGCACACACACGCACACGCGCACGCACACGCACACACACGCGCACGCACGCACGCACACACACACGCACGCACGCACGCACGCACACACACACGCACGCACACACACACACGCACACACACACACCACATCAGTGTGTGTGCCGCTGGCTTCATTCACACAGAATCAAAGCGCCTTTGAAAGCAGCGCTGCTCTTCTTCCTCACAACGAGATCCTGTGGTGACTTGAAATCCTGCATCCAGACTCCGTTCTGTGATCAGGGTGTGTCTGAGAGCCAAACAAAAGGCTGAACAAACGCTCCGCGGTGCCTGGACTCGCCGCCGCACGCATGGAGAGAAGGGCGGAGGCCGACTATTGTGAGTCAGACAGACCTGTGGGTGCAGGTAACGGCAACACCTGGGAGCACGTCCAGATGTGCCGGGCTCGTCTGACATGGTATTGTGTGTGCAGATGAACCAGCTTGAACGAGGTGGGCGTGTCACAGAGGTGGGCGTGTCCGTATGTTATCGTTCATGCAGAAACTGCTCCATGTTCGCTTCATGAATGAAACCTGTTGCAGGCACAAACGCCTACAATAAACGGAGCTCCGCCTTTCTGGAACGTCACGGCTCCGATCGGCTTCTTTCACATTCCAACTGCGACCAAACGAACACACGCCACGCCCTCGACCTGCGGGCGACTGCAGCGGCGACCCGGTGGGACCCGGCCGGCCCCCCGACCATCGCAGACAGACAGGGCTGATGAGAGCTGCTCGTCTGTGGGACTCCTGCATCATTCTGCTCACATCTGCGAGGTTCGGTCTGAATATCGATGACATGGATCCTACTTCCACAAACAGACTGAGCCTGACTGACCGCAGACGGTCTTGCTGCTGTTTTAACTCTAAAGATGAAAGCTCTCTTTGTGAGAACAGAGCAACTCGCCGCGTTCACATCTGTTTACAACAAACGCCTCTAAAAAGCACAGGCTGAATGTGAACACGAGGAACCTCTGTGACTGCTTTCTGACTTCGTGATGAAGTCACGAGCAGCGCACGTCGAAGCATCCTCCCCCACATGTGAGGCGCTCGGCAGAGGCCGACGCTCGGGGCCACGCGTCCTGTGTAAAGACAGCAGCAGAAACATTACAGGCGCTCTGCAGCGAGCCGAGAAAGACCCGAAGAAGAGAGGACGCTTTGAGTGCAGCGCTGCTCTCCTTTCTATCTGTTGCGTAATGCGAGCGATGGCATTCATGTGGGTAGGACACGGCGCCGAGGGCAACTCCAAGAGTAATGGATGGATCGCTGAGAGAGGCAGCAGAGAGCAGGAGGAGGAGGAGTCAGGAGCGAGGGTCGAGCGTGTCGGTGTGCCGTGGACATCGCTCGCCTGAACGGGCTGAAGGCTGCTAACGAGCTGCAGACACGTTGTTATTAGCAGAGGATTAAAGGGCGAGCAGGGCGAGGAGGAGGAGGTCACTCCTTTCTTACCAGTGAACATGGAGCTGGGCGCCGCTTTGGGAAACAAATGTTTCACACGCTGGAATGGCTCCTCCTCACTTTACGTCCACAAACATCTGGAACGCCGCCTCCGTGGGCTTCACGTATCCAGACGCGTCGAAGTCCAGACTTTTAATTCGATTCAAACCAAATCTTTATTAAATCACGAAGAACGTTTTTTTAACCAAGTCGCCTCTTTATAGAGGCTCAAACGTACGCGGAC